GACGACGAGCGACGATGGAGGAGGCGAAGGCAGGAGGAGAGGATGAGTTGCGTGGGAACAAAGCAACATAGGGTGAGAATGCTGAACAGGAGAGAAAGGACGAGCACGAGAGGGACGGCGAGACCAGGCGTGCAACGGAGGTGTCGGGTCAAAAGACAAGGAGGAGTAACAGGAGGGGAACGAGGTGGGAAACTGGTCGGGGACGAGTTCGGCGGAAGAAACACTGGGTCGTGGACAGGAAGGGGAGGAGGCGGCGGGAGAGGCACATGCGAGCGGTCAGGGGAGGGAAGGCCGAGCAGGCGAAGGGCGGACACCGGCGGTGACTGCTGCCGCTGCGGCTACTCGACGGCGACACTTGGACCGCCAGCAGCACCGCGGCCACCTCCGAAACACTTCACTCCAGCACCCCTAGAACGAGCACCCCCAGAGCAAGAACCCTCTCCAGTATCGGTGCCACCCCCGAGCCCGCCAAGACAAGCCACGACAGGAACCCCAGGACTAGCACCCTCCTCAATGCCAGCACCCCCAGAGTCCACGAAAGGCTGCTGCTGCTGCAATTGCGGCGGTGGCTGCTGCGGGGTCGGTGAGCGACGCATCGGCTTGGTCATGGAGGTGGCTCGTCCCTCCATGATTTTTGCCGGTGCACCCCATTTTCTGTGGCCGTTCGTCATTCGCTACGCTGCTCACCAGCTTAACCTCTGGCCGCGCTCCCAGCGGCCGCAGGTTTCGCCGACCCTTCTTTGGACCGGGTTCCCTGGTGACGCGTCTGCGTCGCTCAGCGGCGGTGGCTGCTGCGAGGAGTCCGGTAGGGTGTACGACTGGGCGTTGCCCTCCGCATGACAGAAATGTCCAAGCCAACCAAAGGCGAACTCGCCGCCACGGTCGGAATGGAGACACAGCACAGGGAGACCGTGGTGGAGGTGCGCAGCTATGACCCACGGGATAAGAACGTCGGGCATGTCGGCCTTCGGCTCCAAGGGAAACTCCGTGGTGTAGCACGTGTAGTCGTCCACGAGAACTAGAAAGTAGCGCTTGCGACGCGGTCCAGGGACGGGGGCTGGGCCCCAGACGTCCAGGTGCAGGGTCTGGAGGGGTGCGGTGGCAGGACGAAGCGAGGAGGAGTGAGGAGCACGGCGAAGCCGGCCCTCGACGCAGGGCGTGCATGGCGGTGCAGGCGAGGGAGGGAGGGCAGGAAGCGACGCAGGGAGACCTAGGACGAGACCGTGCTGTGACATGTGACGCAGACGCGGGAGTGCGGGGTGACCTAGGCGGTGGTGCCACAGGAGCGACGGGTGAGTGAGCGACCGATACGAGCACGCAGCGGCGACCTGGGTAGACGCAGGACCCGGGGAGGACGCCCCACCCAGGGGAGAAGCAGAGTCTAGCGTAACGAGGCCAGACACCGGGTCCCGGGGGAATGTCGCAAGGGGGGCACCTGAGGCGGCCTCGGTACAGACGGCGTACCGCTCGTGACCCAGGAATGTAGTGGTGATGCCGAGGTCCTGAAGACAGCCGACACCAAGTAAGTTCCGGGAGAACGAGGGGATGTGCAGGCGTGTAAGGGAACCCGAGGGAACTGCTGGACAGGGAAGGGTTGTGTAGTTGCGAGCAACTACAGGACCAGAGGAGGGGTCAGGAAGTGCAACAGCGGTAGGCGCGGCAAGCGGCGTAAGCGCAGCGTGGTCGCAGAAGAAGCAGGCATACGCGCCGGAGTCAAGTGTGAAGGACAGCAAAGCGGTAGCGGTGGATGAAGAAGGAGCAAGCGTAGAGCCTAGGCTAGACAAAGCAAACGGTCCTACGCCTGACGGAGCAGGGGTGGCAGTACTACACACAGGTGCTACGTCTAAGCTAGAGAACACAGGGTAATAAGTTCCAGACAAACTAGAAGCGTCAGCATACAGAGAATGCAGGGCAGAACTAATCTGATCCATGTCTAAATCAAAAACAGGCACATGGTGGTGCAGCAGACTGGGCCAGTCATGGGGGTCCGGGGCCGGGCCGAAGCGGCGACGGAAGAGGTTGTCGAGGCGGCGGAAGCCGCGGGCGATCGGGTGCGGACGGCGGCACACAATACTACGGAGGGGCCCGGTCTGGAGCTGGTACTGGTAGCCCACAGCATCGAAGCCGCCGGTAGACGCCGAGCTGCGAGGACTGCCTCCTCGGCCACCACCTCCAGGGTCTCCTGGCCACCCCGGCGGGAGGCGGTCCCACGGCTTCTGCTGCTGCTGTTGCGGCTGCTGCTGCGACTGCTGCTAATGCGGCTGTTACTGCTCCTGGACACCTGCCCCAGCCCCCTCGTCAGAACCACTGTTGCCGCCACCACCACCACCACCAGCGCCACCACCACGCCCTCCCTTGGGGCCGCGACGGCCCCGATGCTCATGCAACCTACAGAGATCCGTTTCAGATGATAAATTTCACTAAGTCTGTAATATCAGAAGGATGCGTACGTACACCCATTCTGAAATATCAGAAGGATACAAAATCACTTTCTAGGGAATCCGAAATTCAATAATTGGGTTTCTAAAAAATCAGATGAACGCCTAAAAACAAGTCTGAAAATCAGACAAACAGACGGATTTTGTCTGATGTCGAGGACCCTGGTCGCATACATGCGACATGATTCACGACAGGCCTGATTTTATCAGACTATTTTAGTCTGATTGTCTAAAATTTCATACCTATTTGATCCGGATTTTTCAGACTTGCCAATTTCTGAATGTTGAACCCTTCAGAGTTATATGTTTTTGAATCCTGAGAATCTCAGACTTGGCAGTTTGTGGATACTGAGTTTTCAGAGCACAGCGCGTACGGACCCTGAGACAGACATACCTACCTACCCTCATCCAAAATTTTCGTCCAAATCCCCAACGGCCAGAGTCAAGTGCTTTCACACACCCCGCCCCGCAACCTATAAAATCTGGCTAAGTCCTAGCAGCCAGCGACAGTTCCCCCCAGCACAACCAGCAGCCCATAAAAATCATTGAACTCCTGTTCTAGAGACACCCCTCTAACACCCCCAACACCCACAAAAATCGGCTAAGTTTTCCATTTTTAGAGACATTCTCCCCGCACCCCCTTTCCCCTGATTTTTTTTGTCAAGTCCTCTGAGCGGGTGGCACAAGTCCCTCAACAACCCATCACACACTTGCAAGGACCCATCACAGACAAACTCCCTGCTGCTGTATTGTACACGCATTGTCCTTCGACGTGCTTTGCCGTACCCGGAGCAGGTGTGAGGCTGTGATTGGCCGTCAGACCAAAATCACACAAAAGTCCGAGGTACTGTACCTAGGAGCAATTATGAGGAGCGTGACTGGTCCTTAGACCAAGTACTGTATCACGCTGGTTGCCCGAGGAAGGCTACAGCAGGCGCGCGCGAGGGACGTGATTTGTCGTTAGCACAAACTACGCGGATACAACAAGTTGGTGGGGTTTCGGCAGTTCCTGAGAACACAACTTTTCCTTCGATTACGCGGCGAAGTGCAGCCATCGTCACTGATACAGCACGTTTCAAAACCCAGGCCTCATTCGTCAGCTTTACGAAAAATTCAGCCTGAAATTTCAGGCAATCAAATAAAAACGACCCTAACAAAAATGGGTTCTCATAAGGGCAGGCCTGAGCAATCAGCCTCCATAAAACGAATCTGAGACCCTGGTGTGAACTCTGCAAATACAATATTCGACTTGGGCGCACGACTCTGAGTCGACATTCTGAACCCTGAGTATTTCAGACTCGTTAAATCTTGGACACTGAGATTTCAGAGTAGCGAAATTTTGAAAAATGACCCTTCAGACTCGGGAAAATTTTGGGGGGGCAAAATCAGAGTGCCTTGTTTTGAAACGTCGGCCCTGATTCGCGACGAAAAGTGGGAAGCGACTGTTTTCGTATGTGACTAGGAAGGGGTGCTTGAGTTCGTTAACTTCCCAAGGTTTTGGGAAGAGGTTGCCTGGGAAGAGGCTGGTAGGAACACGCTCCAACAATGGTACAAAATATTTCATTTGATTTAGAAAAATCACGGGACTAGTGACAAAATAGTATGGTGAGTTCGTAAACTTCACTAGCTTCTGCATGCATGAATTGTCTGTAAAGTCTAGTTGAATAGAAGCAAATACTTCACAAGTTAAGGTTTTTTTTGTTTTTGTTTTTGTTTTTTTTTTTTGAAAAAAAAAATCTCGTCCGGTCGATCACCTTAGGTAGCTCCGCAACCCAAAAAAAAAAAAAAATCATTTCGCAACCCGTATTTCATCCTTGCTCCATCACAATTCGATCAATTATTTTCTTATAAACGATGATGGAAAGGCGTGCTACACAGTGCCTATTTTTCACGAGTAAATTACTCTGATTCTCTGATTTTCAGAGTTGGTTTTGTGTACCACCCTTACACCTCTGGGTAAAATTTTGAGATTATATGTTTTCTCTGATAAGCCAGGGTTTTCTATAGTCCCACCCTGAGGGGTTTACTATAAGGGGGATACCCCCGGATTTTCTTGTACCCCTCTGTCCATACATGCCCCTTGTTCACACGGACCGCTGAGCTGGCCCACGTCATATACCCCCGGATTTTCGTGTACCCCCCTGTCTACATATGTGGCCCCATATCCCCGCAGTATTCACGCGGACCGCCCAGCTGGCCCACATCACATGATGCCTGTCTCGCTCTTGCTGGCAGATTCCATGATCCCTATTGGCATGTTTTCCTCGCGCCTCCCTTTTTCCAAGCCCTCTCTAGCCCCACTCCCCCACGTTAGCCTCTCTCACAGCATTCGCGTATCTTCGTTCCTCCCCTTCGTCGTTTTTTCAGCAAACGCCCTCTCTCATAATCAGGGTCCGCCATGCCTAGCGCGGTTGATCCCGATGACGGCGTCAGTGGTGGGAAGAATCAAAGCCACTGGCGCTCGCTAAGTGCCATGCCCTAACAACCCTGCTAGCATACTAGCAGAACATACCACACCACATCACATGCTACGAGTAGCCGCTATTTCCGCCTCTGGTTGTCTACCATGCCTGAGGGAGCCTATGTGAATCGCGAGGAGGAAAGGATGGTGGGGCAGGAGTCAGACGAGAAGGAGGCTCGGCTTCTGGAGCACATCGCCCAAACAGTCCCCGCGAACGACCCGCAAGCAGTGATTAGCGCCATCGATTCCTACGCGTGGTCCAGCCCGGAGTTTTTCATGAACGTCGGCGACGTGAAAGGTGCAATTTTAGACGACGCCGTCCGTCGCGCGAATCCCTTCAGCGCACTCGAGCTCGGCGCGTTCTGCGGGTACTCGGCGGTTCGAATCGCTTCGCGCCTTTCGAAGCCGGGAGCTCGGTTGGTGACTGTGGAGCTGAGCGACCTCCGTTCGTCCGTCGTCCGCAGCGTCGTCGCTCACGCAGGCCTCAGCGACAAAGTTACTGTCGTTACAGGCACGCTGCAGACTTCAACAGATGAAATTCGGCAAGGTGCGAGCAAGGTTCCATTCGATCTAGTCTTCATCGATCACGTGAAGCACCTCTACCTACCAGACCTCTTTTTTCTCAGAGACCAGAAGCTCATCGGACCAGGAACTATCATTGTGGCTGATAACATTGTCTATCCGGGGTCTCCTGATTATCTCGAATTCATGGAGAAGAGCTCAGAGTTTGTGACTGAAAAGAGGGAGACTACCGCTACTACGCCAATTCTGTTGGCTGCTGCCATGCATGGGACGATCGCCGCTGCTACTGCTGTGCATAGTGGGATCGTAGTTGCTGCTGCTAAGTGACGGAATTTCCGATTAAACTGCTGGTGTTAGTTGCGAGTGCTGCGATTTTCAGAGATTGCCGTCATTGCTAACGCAACTAGTGATACGGTTGTTGCTCACGTTGCTTATGTGTGTGTGACAGGATCGCCACCACCCAGGGCTGACTTTATCAGACTATTTACTCTGATTAGTCTGAAATCTCAGACCTGTTTTTTGGCCAAACCTGAATTTCCAGATAAGGCATTTTCCCAATCCTGATCCCTTCAGAGTACGATTCTAGGGATCCTGAGAAAATCAGAGTTGTCGCTAACCCAGTACTGAGTTTTCAGAGCACAGCGCGTACAGACCCTGACTCATTACCTGTATAGTACCAACCTTCGGAAAATTTGGTGAAGTCCCCAATCGCTAGAGACATGCCCCGCACACCCCACAACCCCTAAATTTTTTTGGCCAAGTCCCCGAACCCTAGAGACAACCCCCACCCCACACCCCACAACCCACCCTAAATTTCGACTAAGTCATGTTGTCAGATACAGTCCTCCCTAACACCTGGAACAACCCAGAAGTGTTGGGCTGAGAAAAGCCCTTAGGATCTTTTGCAGAGACTAAGTCCCAGCTGTAGAGACTTGAGACTTGGAGTAGTGCAGCGGAAGTTGAGGCAGTTGAACCCTTGTACTAGTATGTGAGAACAAGTGATTAATTAAGGAAACAAGCATACAGCAATATATAGAAGATAAGAAAGCAGTTGTAGAGTACAGTTACAGGAACGGTTTATCGAGTCGCACAGCGACTCGATTGCCGCTTCGGTTACCATCCATGATGCTGTAACGGTCAGTCGCAACCTCCAGTTGCGACCTTTCGCATTCTTTGTCCGCCCCCTCGTGTAACCTCCGTTGACTCGCGTGCTCCCTTGTAGTCTTCCTCGAGTGTAGTGTTACACTTCAGAAACGCTTAAGTTCTTTGAGATATTTCCAACACTCCCCTTCGTTTCTGGAGTGCTGTTATGTTCGGATCTGGTGACGTTTGTCTGTCCGGTCAGCAGCATGCAGTGGTCGAATTTTGTCTTCGTCAATTTCTTCGTCAAATAGTCTGCGGCCATTTCTGTCGTTGGGCAGTAACTGAGTTGAAGTCTCCCCTTCGCGATTTCATCTTTGACGAAGAAGTACCGCAGGGCGATGTGTTTGGTTCGGTTGGCGAAGCCGTCCTTGTTTGCGATTTTGATCGCAGATTGGTTGTCGCAGAAGAGTGAGAAGGCGGGCAGGGTCGTGATCTTCGCTTCCTCGAGTAACTCTCGCAGGTAGAGTCCTTCCTTGGTCGCAGTACAAAGGGCGATGTACTCTGCTTCAGCCGAGGATAGTGCGATTAACTCTTGCTTGCTCGACTGCCAGGAGATAGTTCCGATGGGTTCTAGTCGGTAGATGTAGCCCGTCCTAGATCGTCGATTTTCCCTGTCTCCCGCGTGGTCGGCGTCGACGTATCCGAGTAGTTGTACGGACGGTGTTGTCACTTTGCTGTAGATAAGTCCGATCGTCGGCGTGGAGACGAAGTAGAGTAGTGCCCGGTTGAGTTCCTCGAGATCTTCCTGTTCCGGTTGCTTCAGATGCGTCGCTAGTTGACTCGCACTATAGGACAGGTCGGGTCGGCAGGTGACTGCTGCGAATAGTAGGCAACCGAGCTTCTGTTGATACTCCTGGATTTGCTTCGCGGGGAGTTTTGCGGAGGCGCTGTTGTTGTTTCCGTAGCGGTAGGGAGTCGGGACCGTAGTCGGCGTCAGTCCGAATTTCTTCGCGACAGTGCCTGCGTACTTTCCAGCGTGTAGGTAGAACGCCGAGTTGTCTTCGACGACATTTAGTCCCAAGTACTGGGTCACTGAGTCGGACACCGTGAGCGTCAGGTCCCCTTTCAGCTCCCCTTCGAACCAGGTGACGATGTCGGTGGTAGAACCGATGTAGAGCAGGTCGTCGACGTAGACTATGAGCAGAATGTAATCTCTTCCCTTCTGCAGTCGGTACATGCCTTGGTCATGTGGTAACTGTAGGAATCCGATTTTTACGAGCCGGCCGTGAAGGTGCTGCTGCCAGAGCCGTGGGGCTTGCTTGATCCCGTAAAGGGATTTTTCCAGCTGGCATACTTTTGAAGGGTCGTCGATGAATCCGTGGGGTTGTTCGACGAAGATTTCGGCGTCCACAGGTGCGTACAAGAAGGCGTTTGCGACGTCGATTTGCCGTAGTGGTAGTTTCTTCGTGGCCGCGACGGCGAGTAGGATGCGCAGGGAGGTGTGACGGGAGACTGGGGCGAAGGTTTCTGTGTAGTCGGTTCCGTATCGTTGGTCGAAGCCTCGTACGACCCATCGCGCTTTAAAACGTTCGATGGAGCCGTCCGCGTTGGTCTTAATGCGGTACACCCATTTCCCCGAGAGAATGTTCCTCCCGTTGGTGTTGGTTGTCGGTACTAACTTCCATGTATTCCGGTCTTGGAGGGCTTTTAACTCTTTTTCCATTGCTTCCTTCCATTCCGCCTTATGTTCCCCCCCAGAGCCTGCGACAGGGTCGATGGCTCGCGCGGAGAAGGCGGCGGCGGGTGCTGGACGGAGACCCATAGTCCTAGGATCTGCAGTCCCGTGGCTGTGTGTCGAGGGGAATTTTCATTCCCGGGATAAGCTGCTTCATCACCGTCTTCAGGATCGGGTAAGAAGTTTGGCCCGATGCGTTCGGAAATATTCGAGTCGACGGGGTGTGGTGTAGCGTAGCCTTGGTCAGCGAAGTGGTAAAAGGTGTCGAGGTTGTTGCTATCGAGGGGATTATCTTCATCGAGTGGAACAGGTACGGAGCAGTAGGGGAGTGGTCCGGCAGCCTCCGAGGCTCCAGGGACGTTTTCTTCTGCTGCGTCAGCCTCGGCAGCATGGTCAGCGAAGGAGCGAAGGCCCGCGAAGCCGTCGGTGGGGTCGTCTGAGTTGGCAATGTTGTCCAGGTAATGCTGCAGCGTCAGTCGCTCGTAGAAGATAACATCACGTGATGCCACCGTATTTTTGTCTTGTATGTCGAGAATCTTCCACGCGTGAAAATGTTTGGCGATGCCGAGGTGTAGTCCCCACCGAGCTCGTTGAGTGAAGCGTCCTGCTCGAGCTGTGTGGGGTCTGTATTGTACCATGCAGCCGAAAACTCGAAGTAATTTTGTGCTGCCCCTTTTTCCCGTCCACAGCAGGTGTGGTGATGCGTTGTTGGGGAGCGATGACGAGGACAACAGGTTGTGCAGGTGGACTGCATGTGTCATCGCGTCTGGCCATAGTGTGGTTGGCAGTCTCATCCCCTGAAGCAGTTTTCGCATTGTCGTCTGCAAGGTCCGATTCATGCGTTCTGCGACCCCCTGCTGTTGGTGAGCATAGGGCAGGGACACCAGGCGTCTGATTCCTCTTTCCGCCAGATAGGTCTTGAAGCGTTGTGACTGGTATTCCAGTGCACCGTCTGACTGGAAGCTCTTGAGTTTGAGTCCTGATTCTCGTTCGGCGATGGGAAGCCATGTTGTGAAGGCTTCGAAGGCTTGATCGCGCGTCTTGAGATTGAAGTGCCAGACATATCTGGTTGCGGCGTCGATGAACGTGATGACGTAGTTGAAGTCGGCTTCGGTGTCGTCTCGAGGCATGTTTAAAATATCGTTGTAGACCTTTTCCATCGGAGCGTAAGTAGGTGCGCTTGGGTTGTGATGGGATGGGAAAGGTTGATGAGGAAGATCTGCTTCGGGGCATGTGAAGCACCGTGCGCGTGGTCGTCGAAGTTCTTGGCCGCTCGTCGTCAGAAGGGCGTTGCGTTCTAACACATCTGCTTGGATTGTTTGAAGTATCGTGCTGTTTGCAGGATGTCCGAGACGTTGGTGCCAGATGTCGTCGGGAGCGCGGTGACCGGGCGAGCGGTGGTAGATGTCGGCGTTGGAGAAGAACGCGACGACCGAGGCGGGACTTCGACAAGCTTCTCGTGTGGCGGGCATAAGTTGGTCTGCTTCGGTTGGCGGTCCTCGTGTCGCTGGTGGTGGTACTCGGCTGGGTCCTGCTGCCGATACTGCAGGTGATGGTTTTGTTGGGACACGTGTGGGTACTTGTCTTTCTTGTCTGATAACTGCTAATGCTCGTGTTCTCTCTGCTGCAGGTATGGTGTTGGAGTGCCAGAAGCCGTCACTGTCGAAGTCGGGATCAAGATCCGGCGGGTGAGTCCAGGCGGCGAATGATACGATACCGTCGCTGTCGGCAGTGCCGCGGTCGGGGACGAAGTCCAACACGAAGACGCCGGATTTCAGGAGGGCACGACCTATGAAGAGGCCGCCCTTCCCGTGGTAAAGCCGGAACTCGTTGGAGAAGGAGTCGCACTCCAGGTGAATCCCCTTGGCCATTAGTTGGCTTACGCTTAGTAGGTTATATCCCAAGTTGTCGACGATGAGTACTTTGTTGAGCTGAAGTATTACGTTTGTCTCCATGGATTGTAACTGAACCACGCCTTGTCTGTTTGTCTTTAGGTTTTCGTTGTTGGCGACGGTGATGACGACGTCGCGGTTGAGCCGTTTCCCCTGTTGCACGAAGCGTCCCGAGGAGCACATGTGTTGACCGCAGCAGCTGTCCAAGAACCAAGTGTTTCGCCCGGTGGGTTCGGCGTTGGCGACCGCAGCATATGTTGGATTGACTTGAAGACCTTGTGAGCGCGGTGGTGGGAACTCTTCTTCGTCTGGCGCGTAAGTGGGTGGTGATCCGGGTGCGCAGTTGTCGATATGTACCATGCAGTTAATAATATTTGGTGTCCCTTGTGCAGATGTCGAGGAGCGCCTTGGAGAACTTTCTTGGGTGGAGGCGACTTGTGGGTCTACTGGGCGGTAAACGCGAGGGCGGTAAACGCGAGGGCGGTTGCAGTTGACCTTGGAGTGCCCGGAAGTCTGACAGTTGTGGCAGAACGGCGGCACGAAGGTAGTTCCTCTGTTGTCGCGCTCTTGCTTGCCGCGTCGATTGTAGGTGTTGTCGTTTCTTCGTTGAGTGTAGAAGACTAACTGCTGCTGCTTCCTTGGTTGCCTTTCTTCGAACAGGTCCATCTCCTGTTGTTCAGCGTGAAGCTCGGCGCAGAGGTGCATCTCCGAAATTCTTCCGTGGGCGCGAAGAAGTGATCGTGTGGTTCTCCATTCTGGCCCGAGCCCGGCGAGGACAAGTGTCACGAAGCTTTCTTCAGTGATTGTTCCTCCGCACCGAAGCAGGCGGTCGCGGAGAGTCTGGCATCGACTCATATATTGCATTGCCTTTTCCCCGGTCTTCATCTGTATTGTTGTCAGTTGTTGCATGAGTCTACTTTGCGTCACGCTGTCGTTTGCTTGATAAAGGCACTTGAGATGATGCCATGCGAGTTCCGCGGAGTTCCCATAACTCCGATATGTTCTGATGCTCTGCTGTTCTTGTGGTGACAGGTTCCGCAGGAGGACTGTATACGCCAGCAGCGACTGATACGTGAAGATCTCTTGCTCCTTTCCAGTGCCGTTGCTTGGAAATGGCAGGGACCCGTTGAAGTATCCCAGAAGATGCGCGGCCTCCATCAGCAGCTCGAACTCGAAGCTCCAGGTAAAGAAGTCGTGTCCGTTGAACGGTGAGGATGTTTGTAACTTAATAACGTGTGAGAATTGAGCCTGAAGACTGAGAATCTCGTTTGGTGTTTGTTGTGATGCAGCTGCTGTTGGTTGGGCGCGGGGCGG